ATTTAAATACCCAACTGAGAAGAACAGCAGTTCAAGATAGAAACTAGATTAAGGTAGAGAGAAGAATAAAATTGCATTTTTACATGAAAGCTTGTGACTGAAAAATTGATACGTGTAATATGATTCCAAATAATTTTGTTCAAGTATCTTATCTCAGGAATATATTCAATATCTCGAAACTTGATCTTTTCAAACTTGGGCCAAAACACAATGATGTTAGAATAAGGTATGAGGATTTTCTTGAAATGACTAAGTACTCATCCAAAATACAGCACATGATTTTTCACTATTTCAGAATAACTGGATTGGAGGAAAAACAAATTCATATACATGCCCATAAATATGTTATTGAGCATATACAAAAATTGTAAACTGTTTCTACAGCAAAGCATAGATAAATAAATATTTTCTAGACCAAAACAAAGAAAAATTTAATTAAAAATCTATTACTCACTATCTCCCAACTTAAAACTTTCAAAGTTAGATTATGTTGCTGGAATTAAAGATTGACTACGTGATAGAGGTACGAACAAATCTCTCCATAATATTATTATCAGTTTGATTTGAAAATCCAGAGTCCTCTAATGGTGTCAGCTCACTCTTTTATCTTTTGCAGTGACCCAAAGTTGTGAGTTAAGATTTTCTATATCCTAAATATAAAGCATAAGTAAAAATAGAAGCCTGACTGTGGGGCTCACCTGACAGCTTCAGCTAAGTGTAGATAGTTAATAAAACATTATGAACTTTGGGGGTTTTTTTGCTTTTATGAATATTACATAATAATGTTACTATTATTCATTATATATTATATTTCAATTAAAAATATTTGGTGAAAATATAAAAGAGAACAGGTTGAATACAAAATCTAACCATTATAATTACAGTGTGCCAAGTCAAAAAGGTATACAAGTGAATGTTTTGGAACTGTTACAAAGAAAAAGTCAATGGATTAAGATACATTCTTGCTTTGAAATTGTGTGCTGCTAAAATTCTAAATCCTATTTAATTTTTTTCCTTTTTGAAGTTGCATTACCAGTTATCAAATTATTAGTTTAATTTAATGAGTTCAATCCTGAATCCAGGTACTGAATCTTGCTGTATAAAATTCTCTGTACCTTACTTTATAGTATAGATTAATGAAAGTATCACAGTTAAAAATACCTCAGTGATGCATTTGTAGAAATCATTCCGCATTTTTGTTTGGTTTCTTATTTATTCACCAATCTCTTCCAGACAAAATTAAAAACTCTAGCTCAAAGAATTATATTAGTCATTTGTTAAGTAGGAATAATTCAATATCGAGAAGTTTTGTTAGTGCCTATAAGAATTTTTCTGGTTCTACTCTGCCACTGAAGATAGGATCTCCTTTCAATACCCCAGACAAATGTGCATCTAGTGTCTGATTTAAAGTATTCAAGGGACTAGATTTGCCTACTTTTGGGGGGATTTTTTTCCATATTTGGACTGTGTTAATCACTGTACCAAAGAAGAACCACCACTAACTTTTAGTCATTTGTCCTATTGCAGATGTTCCAAATTTTTTTAAGGTCTTCATTTTTTTTCCAGAACAGTTTTAAGTTCATAGCAAAATTGAGAGGAAAGTACAGAGATTTCCCACATCCCCCTTCCCCGACACATGCAAAGCCTCCCTCATTATCAACATTCCTCACCAGAGTAGTACATTCATGACAATTGATGAACCTGCATTGACACACCATAATCACTCAAAGTCCGTAGTTTCACTTAGGGTTCACTCTTGGTAAAGTACACTATATTGGTTGGAACAAATGTATAATGACATGTATCCATCATTACAGTATCATAGAGAATATTTTCAATGCCCTACAAATTATCTGTGCTCTGCCTATTCACCCCTCCCATCCCCCACCCCTGGCCACCCCACCAAAGAGAAGGATTGCTGGATCATATGGTAAGAGCATGCTTAGTTTTTTAAGTGGCTGTGCCATTTTGCATTCCCACCAGCAGTCATGGGAGAGTTCCTGTTGCTCCACATCCTCACAAATACATGGTGTTGTCAGTGTTCCAGATCCAAGAGGAAGAAAGTATAACCTTACAGGGCTTTTAAGGGTTAGGCCTGAAGCTGCACAGAGTCACTTCTGCATTATTGTATAGCCAAGGTAAGTCACAAGGACAGGCTAAACCCTCATCTACATGTGTGGAGTGCCATGTATGCAAAAGAAAAGGGATTGATAATGATCATCTCTGTACTCCATCAAGTGCAATCTATTATGCATTAGATTTCAATAAATCAAGCATGATTTGATAGTTTTACTAGTAACTAAATACCTGATTAATCAAAAAGACATCAAGAGGGAAAAGAAAATGAAACATAGAGTAGATGATACAAATAAAAATCAATGGTAAGTTGGTAGATATAAATCACAAATATATCTATTATTACTTTAAATATAAACAGACTGAAAACTATTATAAACTAAGATTTTCAGATTGGTTTTAAAGAAACATAAGATGCACATCTTAACCATAAAGGTAAAGAACAGCTGAAAATAAAAGGACAGAGCAATATATATCATTAAATCACCATCTGCAGAAAGCTGATGAAGGGGACTTTAAGGCATAAAGCGTTTCTAGAGAGAGACCACCTGACGGCAAAAGAACCATCAGCACGGAGAATATTATAGTTTGAAATTTGCATGCACCTTATCACAATCTCAAAATATTTAAGCAAAAAGTCAATAAAACTAAAAGTAGGAAAAAAAAAGTTCACATCACACAGGGAGAGACAGAACAAACAGAAAAAAGAATCAGCAAAGTTATAGAAGTTCTGAATAACAGTTAACAAACTCTGTCTATTTGACATATAAAACACTGCAGCTGACAGGGGCAAAACAGACTTTCTTTTTTTTTTTTTAAAGACTTTTATTTTTCCTTTTTATCCCCAAAGCACCCCGGGTACATAGTTGTATATTTTTACTTGTGGATCCTTCTGGCATGTGAGATGCCGCCTCAGCATGGCTTGATGAGCGGTGCCATGTCCGCGCCCAGGATTCAAACTGGCAAAACCCTCGGCCGCTGAAGCAGAGTGTGCGAACTTAACCACTCAGCCACGGCCGGCCAAGAAAATAGACTTTCTGTTCATGGCCCTGTGATCACATAGTGAATGATAAGTCTCAAAAAATTTGAAGCTCGAGACAAAATCATCTATGGAATGGTCAATCGCAATAGAGAAATTAAATCACAAGTTTGTAACAGTACATGAACAATGCCCAAATTATTGAAAATTAAACAATACATTTTTAAATAATTCAAAATCAAAGAAAAAAGCCCAATGGCAACTCCTTTGAATTAAGGAATAAAAAATATATCAAAACTTGTGGTAAGCTGAGAGGAAAATTTATGGCCTTAATGCATAAGATAGAAAAGAATGTCTTAAAAAATGATCTATACATCCATCTCAAGAAGTTAGAAAACAAAAAACCTGAAAATTACACCCACTGAACTTAGAGGAAAGAAATAAGAAAATAAAAACCAAACATCATAAACAACGTAGCCAAATTTGTTTCCCTGAAAAGACTGAAAACTGTGATCTTTTAACAGAATGATCAGAAAAAATAAGCGAAAGAAAGCAAGAAAAAAAAATCAAGTAAGAAAAGGAAATGTTGGGGCCGGCTCCGTGGCAGAGTGGTTAAGCTCGCGCGCTCCGCTGCAGCAGCCCAGGGTTCGGATCCTGGGCGCAGACATGGCACCGCTCATCAGGCCACGTTGAGGCGGCGTCCCACATCCCACAACTAGAAGTACCTGCAACTAGGATATACAACTCTGTACAGGGAGGTTTGAGGAGATAAAGCAGAAAAAAAAAAAAAGATTGGCAACATTTGTTAGCCAGGTGTCAATCTTTAAAAAACAAAACACCATCACTAAAAAGAAAAAGAAAAGGAAATGTCAACAAATATGAAAAATATATACTAAATACAGTACTATGATTGAAACAATTTTTTTCCAATAATTTGAAAATTTAGAAGAAATGTACGAATTACTAGAAATGCATAACTTTTAAAAACTGAAAGTAATAGAAAATCTGAATGCTCAGTATGATTTTAAAAAATAAATGTGTAATTAAACGAATTCCCCCAAATAAATCTCCAGGTCCAGACATCTTCCTGGATGATTTCTTCTAAACATATATTATGGGTCTTAGTCTCTTTTAGAAAATAGGAGGAAAGCATTGCTGAGAGTTTTCATAAAGCCAGACAAACTCTTATTTTCCCAAACCAGACAAGTACCTCAAAGGAACAGGAGAGCAGGGTCTGAGAGCTGGCTGGCCCGGAGCAGCCCTGCTCTTTCCACAAGGCTGTGGTTTGCAGACCTTTCCCCACCCTCACCTCTGCCACGGCCCCTCTTCACAGACAACTTAACATCAACATCAAACAACCCCTCAGGGGACTCAGCGATCAAGACAAACAAGACCACGCCTATGCTTGTACAAATTCAGAGACAACAACCGCGTTGTCCAACTACAAAAGTGACCAAATAGCCCCCCGGCTGGCTGGTGCAGGACTGCTGCCTCCTTGTCATGACAGCTTTAGCCTCACATTGTCCTTCCTATCTTTTAGATAAGAAAGATGGAGGTACCAAATCTCAGTATTATCTCCACTTCCTGGTAGTATCTAATCTAGGGTGAAACCCACTTCCCTAAATCCTCAGGCAAACCCCCTACTAGGAGACAATTGCTGTGTAAGCAAGGCCTCTCGCTGCGAAGCCCTGGCTTCCACAGTGGGCTTCCCCTTCCCGGCAACAAGTCCACCGACGCAGCTTTACTCCAATACCCGGCATGCGTCATGCCTGTTTGAGCCCAGCCTTTCAAATGCACCTGTGAAACGCGTGTGGGAGGTGAGCCTGGGGGTTTGGGGGAGGAGAACACTGCAATCTGGAGCCCAGGAAGGTTTTAAGGAGAGCGTGTGACGACCCGTGACTTTTTATAATTTTATGAAACGCCCCAAACTCAGATACGGTGCAGATTTCGCATTGTACTAGTGCAAGGATGAGGCAAAAGTCATTTCTTACTGATTTGATCTGACTCTAACTTCTGTCTGTTAGATTAGCTGTAAGGCTGACTGGCTCACTGAATGGGTAGGTTGTTTGGGTTAAGCAGTTTTGTAAGAGTCTACTATTTGGATATTTTATCTGCAGTCTTACTCATTCCAAACTAGCTCTGCCATTGAAAATTATTTGATACAAAAAAAGGAGTAATTGTGACTAAATTTTAGCAGGAATCTTTTTGTGGCAAAAGTCTCGAGCCACGTCTCCCTTCTAATCCCCTCCCATTCTTCCCCCTATTGGCTTGTTGCTGATCAGGAAACGCGTCAATTATGCTCCGAACCCACTTCTTTCCCCTTGCTGTTGCCACTGCTCAGCTCTCAGGGTAGACAGCCTCCTGTGCAAGCCCCTCATTCGGGTCAGATGTGGGCTCCAACGTGAGCTATTCTGACCTCTTGATCTGCAGCGTCACCCACTCCGGGTCACTCAGGCTCCCTGGCTCCGCGTCACTCCTTGAACTTCTTTATCCCATCTCAGTGCCCTGATGGTAAGTAAATTAAGTTGGAAAAATTTGTCACAAGTATGAGCCGGCATCCTTCTGTTTCTATTGTCTTCTGTTGACTCTGAACACAGTAAATGGTTTAAGTTTGAGGTAAGTGAAATAAAAACAGAATAAATTACTTAAACATGAAACCAGCTTCCTTTAAATTCTGCTCATTTGTATTTCACACAGGGCATGGTACATGGCTGTTAATTAATAGGGATGCCCTGACCTGAGAACAAAATACTTCAAAAAACAGCTTTCATCAAATATTTCCCTTATCAAACTTCAAAGCTTTACTGATGTCTGCAGGGGGAGTCCTGTTAGAATGCAGGCTCACGTCAGCATGGTAAATGATCCTGCACATTCATTATAGTTTCTATTTACAGAAGTTTTAACTCTTCTATAAGTTAATGAACAAAATAGCAACTTGCCATCTTATACTGTATCGCAAGATAAATTGAAGGAGATTTGATGTGTTTACCTTCCTGAGGAAGCTCAAATGTGATAGATGAAATGTCAGAGCGTTAAAATGAATGTAAAGGCTAATAGCCTAATAATCCTGCTACAGAGGTGATGTACCAAATTAAGAAAGATGATTTTTGCACTGCATCTACTTTTAACTTTCTTTAACATCCTTGCCAGCAGACTTCACAGTTTACAATCCACAGTTTATTTAAAGTAGAAAATGGATGCATAGGAGCTGGAGGTGGGGATGTGGAACTCTGTGACTCAATCATCTATTCTATATTAATGTTTAGAGCGTAAGCTATATTTAACATGTAGATGCATCCATGTTATAGATATGGATTTCTATGTTATATGTATATTCATATATCTTATATGTTGCTGTGTCATAAATTTATGCTAAATCTTCAGAGAAAGGGGAGGAGCTTGATTTAAGTACTGCTTTCAGAAATTTAATTAAAGAATATAATTTTTAAAACCTTGGCTACTGCTAGACTTGTCATTATTCATAAATGATCAAATATGCTATGCTATAAAATGTTGCCTTCGTTTTTCTCCAAAGTAAAATGCTCCCACTAATTGATTATATTAAATATAATTATACCTTGAAACACACTTCCATTTTATATGACTTTCCTGCATGTTCCATAAGCATATACCTACAATATTCATTGTAACATGCTATGTCTTAAATGTTACATGGTGTATGCTTGAATATGTGTGTTGGCATGAGCGTGTAACGTATAGTATTGTACAAGTAATCTGATATTTAAAACAAAGACTTGAGACTATTTTGATGTTTAACTTTAATTTTAAAAAAGAAAGTACGCAGTGAGTGTGGGAAATGTTTTTGCCCCAAATATTAAGAAAGTGTTCAAAACAATAATGAAGAAGATGGTTTTAAATTAAAATGTTTTAGCTGTTGCTTCCATCTAATGAAGCAAAAATTTGTCTTTTAAAGTCCTAAAGACTATGGCAGTTCTAGCAATTTACAAATTTAATATATAATAGCCCAAGGGATATTAATCATTTTCCTATGTGTAGATATATTTTCTGACTGACTTTTCTATTCCTAATCCAAAAATCACTGAGTCAGAATTTCCATTATGAAATGATTTCGAAAGTGAAAATTATATTTATTTATCACTCATTGTCAACTGCTGGATATTTCAAATCTTACTATCACAGAAGTTGTGTTGCTTTGCACTGTAAAAATCTTATTTTCTTTCACCTTTGTCTTAGTTTTTTAATAAGCACTTGTGTTTTTATGATATCTAGGACATATTGAAATTTCCATTATGTTTAAGGTTTTGGAATTCTCATATATTTGCACTCAATCTGAGTTCCTACAGGCAAATGTTTTTATTGTTACAGAGGCAATGCATGCCTTCTGAGGTTTAAACTTTAAAAATCCATGCTCTAATGTGGTTAGCCATCCAATTGGCTACAGAAGGGAAATTTAAAGTCTTGAATTCCCAAAACTCGAATCAAAGTGACCTAATTTAAATTTCAAATAAGTACAATTAGAGTGTGATTATAATGTCACGTGGGGAAATTCAATTTATCGGATTAAACCCTGATTCAAAAATTAATGTGCAATTAAAAGAGAGTGTCAGAGTGAATCGTAAAGAATGTAAAGCTCAAAAGTTGAAAGTGAACAATTTATTCAGCAAAATCCAGGATAAAGAGACACCATGTTCTCAGGGAAAGACAGAACTACTTTAACGAGCTTCATAATTGCCTGGGTGGAACATTTCTCCAGAGCAGTCATTTTTCCTTGCTCTAGATTGATGTTTTGTAGGCATCCTGCTAATTATGAATTTCTTAGTTTGGTTTTCCCTATAGAGTGATATTAGAAAGAGTTGCCAATTTGCATAACATAGGCATTGAAATTTGTGAAAAGTTTATTTTTGCTTTTGAATGAATGAAATTCCAGTTACAGTTATGTGCTTTAGACCCTTAATCTGTTCTGTTGCTAGATTTCCTCCAAAAGCAGAATCAGCCCTAGAATAGGGAAACACCACTATCCAGACTACAAAAGGTCCTCGTGCACACGGCAGTGTTCACTTGGAGTGAGCCCTGTGGTCCTCCTCGCAGCAGGCTCAAACTCACTGCTGTGCTCTTTCAGACCTTAAGGAGGGGCCCTAGACCCTAGGCTGGCTCACGGAGCTGGATCCCAGCGTCGTAAGAAACTTCGACGTGAGGGATGTGTACAAAGGAAAGGCAGGAGGAAAACGAACTTTTAGTGCAGTGCCTATGTTACTTACTAACAGGTCATTTGCAAACAGTGAATATTTGGAGTGACCTTGGTGGATAGAAAAAAATAAGAGCAGCACAAACTGTCATCCTTCAATGCTAGTCAAACACCCGTCTAATGAACGACTCTCATGCCCATAACACAGCTTCTGCACGTTGCTTATGTTGATGGTGTGCGGCATGTCATTTATATTCCATGATAAAGAATAAAACACCTCTGGTGGCATAGCACTTCCATGACGCTCTCTATTACAGTCTGTGACCTGGTCGAAATAGAATTTCAAATTTAAAATCTACTCTGGCCTACTGCAATTTTACAACTGAACTTGAATTATTTAAACATTTTTTGTGACGCTTTTAGAGAACACAGACTTGAGTTTAATTGTTAACTAATTAGATAATATGTCTGAGTAAAATACGCAAACTAAAATGGATGAAAAGTTATGATATTGCTCTGATAAAGAACTGATGGATTAATCTGTTCTCCACCTATAGTACATTCAATATTCTTTCAAATTATCAGCAAAATTCATTTAAACATTATATTGAATACCATATTGAATTTTGTTCTTTTATGCATAAAAAATCATTTTCCCTTTTCATTTTGAGTAATATTTCACCCTTTATCCAATTAGACCAAAGAATTTATGTGACCCAAATAAACTAGCTGCACATATGAGCAGCAGTATTTCAACGGGAATATGCCTTCAGTGATTCATCAGAAAGCCTTGTTAGCTTGTAAGGATGATTCATAGGTTGCTACACTTAAAAGCAAAGCAGAGTGTGTGGGAAGAGCCAAGGAGAGAGGCTGGATTCTGGATTTGTATTGGTTTTCATAACCATTAACACAATTAATTCCTAACCTCTTTTACTACGAAGTCTGTGAGAAATATGCCACTGACACTGATGACCCATAATGCCGACTTAACCACCTAAAATTTGGTACTCATGGACTTGCTCTTCATGTAATACTAATCATTATTATCTCTGTAATATAGTTATTATCATTATTACTATTTAGGAAATCCTTTAATATACCACACGCATATTGATAAAAACTTTGCGTGCTTACTGCATTGGATTTTCACAGCCCACAGTAAGGCAGGTGCTCTCACTATTTGCATCGTTCTGTCTGTGAGCACAGGTTTATGGAGGAGGCTGATGAGACAGGTAGCAAGACACAGAGCAGCAAGCCCACTCCCCAACTTTTTTGCCCACTGACTTTGTCACTATGCACTGATTCCTTGTTTTACATGCAGACAATTTTTACCTTCCAACTCAGATTATAAACGGTAAGTGATAGGGCTGCATTTTATATATATTTTGTCCTTTCCCTACAGCTCTACAGATAGTGCTTATGCTTGCTTGATCGGTCTTTTAAAAATATTGTTATGGGTTGAATTGTGTCCCCCCAAAAGCTGTGAAGTCCTATCCCCCATTTGGAAATGGAGTCTTTGCAATGATCAAGTGAAGATGAGGCCGTTAAGGTGGGTCCTAATCCAATAGGACCGTGGCCTTATGAACAGGGAAGATTTGGAACAGAGAGACAGGCACACAGGGAGAGCGCCAGGTGAACGTGGGTGTCAGAGTGATACATGTACAAGCCACGGTACACCAGAGATGGCCGCAAACCAAAAGGAGCTAGCAGAGAGGCGCAGAACAGATTCTCCCTCACAGCCTCAGAAGGAACCAACAACTCGATCTCAGACTTCAAGCCTCCAGAACTGGGAGGCGGTAAGCTGCATTTAAAACTGCCCACTTGGGGTATTTCACTACAGCAACGCAAGCACACTCATGCAAACATGCTGTGTTCTTTTGCTTGGAACAAGATGTATACTACATGTAAATATGTCTGATGGAAAATATGGATATAAATCACTGATATGTTCTGTTCAAAGTGGCAAAGATTCCTCTTTGTCCTAGGAATCTGAAAATTTTAAAAACTGTGTTTAAAAGTGAAAGTACATATTTTTAAAATCAAGTGACTACTAAATGTTAGATATAAAAGTCTCATATTGGGGCTGGCCCAGCGGTGCAGCAGTTAAGTTTGCACGTTCCGCTTTGGTGGCCTGGGGTTTGCCGGTTCGGATCCCGGGTGCAGATATGGCACAGATTGTCAAGCCATGCTGTGGCAGGCGTCCCACATACAAAGTAGAGGAAGATGGGCACGGATGCGAGCTCAGGGCCAGTCTTCTTCATCAAAAAGAGGAGGATTGGCAGCAGATGTTAGCTCAGGGTTAATCTTCCTCAAAAAAAAAAAAATCTCATCTTAAAATTAAGTTTCTATTAATTTCTTTGATTTTGAAAATTTGACATAATTATCTATTTAATGTAAATGTTTTAATTTACTGAACTGTAGTGAAGAGTTAGTTGTGTAGAATTCCCTAACCACAATTTTTCATGGTTAGATTTGGTCCTTTCTAAGTGTCTAATTTTCAAGGAGAATTTAAAATAATGGCCAGACACAGAGACACAGCAGCACATTTGAAAATTCACTAAATACAAATAAACAATTATGCTTCTAGGAGAATCATTTTAAAAATAGAAGGGCAGTCTTAGAAGAAACTGGATTTCCACTTGGACTGAGGCTATTTTTGGGTTAGGCCCAGAACAATGCTTGTTTTCATCCCTAAATTGAATGTGGAAAATCCAGGCTGCTTTCGAACGAGCTTTCCCTGGTCTCGAATTTCTGAAAGGAAAATGCCTTTTGGTTGTTACTTCCTATGGGATATTACTGCCAGTTTTTGATCAACTGTGTAAGGTTCCATACATTAAGAACTGTTTCAGGACTTTTCTGAGAATAATGTAAAACAGAGAACTACAATATGGAAGGCATTGGCAAAAGTCACTAATGAAATATGTAATCAGCCATTTTCATATTATGAACATAATAGTCTAAATTCATTAAGAATTATTGTCAATTTCATTTAATGCTAATAGAAAAATTTGAATTTTTCATGCCCTTCTTTGACATTAAACCAATTATTCTATCCAGAATCTCACTTATTTTAATTACAAATGCCCTTTTTCTATGTAAAATGCTGAACTCACTCTCGAATTGTTTTAATTTCATAGAAAATATTTATAGTAATTCTGATAGTAATTAGTTACTCAGAAAGACACTCAGAACTTTCATTCCTGGCCCCAGTGAGTATGTTCGAGCTTAATCAAGGTCAACAACAATAGTTCCTTCACCTCTGATCCAAAGCTTCTCCATTGTTCGCTTTTAAGACCTAATTTACAAAAATTGATGAAAAAGGGTTTTAAATGTCTTCTAATTCATTTTGACTTTTTATTTTAATGAGTGTTCTAGCAAGTCACTTTAACATTCTGAAAACTTATATTATACATGTAATTCAATTTACTTTTTGGCAACAAAAAGTGGACTGTACAGAAATTTTATTAGAGTATTAGTATTTTGCATTAGATATTGTTCAGTGTTGTTTCAACAATATATATAAAATATACTAGACTTTTCTTGTATTCATTTGATGATTTCCCACTCTTTCCCTGTATTAATATGCATATTAATAGTGATTCCCACTAATGATATCACGAAAATTCATCTTCATGATCACAATCATACATTCCCTATACTTGCAACTAAAAATACATCTTATTTCCATACATACTACATAAAAATCAATTTTTTTCTCATTTCTTTGTCTTAAAACCAATTGTAGAAGTCAATGCAAAGCTTATAAATTTCGGGAATATGAAGAAGTTCCAACATGGTCAGTTTATAGAAACAGTCGTCTAAGATATTACATCTTCCGTCTCTGTCTGTCTCCTGTCTTCCTGTCTGTCTTTCTCTGTCTCTCATCCCAAGGGATAAAATTTATCTTACACAGCAGTTCACTTATTTTGTCAGGTTGGGAAAATCCCTTTGTCTCTATGAACATCAATTTCCTTGCTTATGAGGTAGACAGGCTTGACTAAATACTAATTAAAATGTCTTGTACTTATTTGTGTTAATTCTATTTTTGTATAGGAAAAGATGTACTCCATTAGAATTCATGAAATCAAAGTAGGGCTGGCCTGGTGGTATGATGGTTAAGTTTGTGTGCTCCACTTTGGCCATGCTGGGTTCATGGGTTGGATCCCGGGTGCAGACCTACACACAGCTCATCAGGCCACGCTGTGGAGGCACCCCACATACAAAGTAGAGGAAGACTGGCACAGATGTTAGCTCAGGGACCATCTTTCTCACCAAAAGAATAAAAGAAATCAAATTAAAATATTTAAACTAGATTTAGATAATATAGAATAAATTTAACTAGGTTAACATATGTAATGATAAAAATGGCTTCATGATCACAGCTGCTCTGCAAACAAACATCTACTCCCTCTTCACGTAAGGTTTGATGCAGGTCACAGTGATTCTCTAGGGCCTCTTTGCTCAATGATCCGTGTTGCTCTGATCTTCAACTCCAGGAACTCAGCACTTTCCCTGGCACATGGCACACAAATAGAGCCCTGCAGTGTTTCCCACCAACAATAGAGGCTTTGGCCAGAAGCGACCATAAGCCTTACGCTCAGCATCTGTGAACCAGTAAACTATGGACTTTGAGTGGTAACGGTGTATTAATGTTGGGTCATCAATTGTAACAAATGTTCTGCTCTGTGTGGGATGTCAATGGTGGGGGTTACTGTGCCTATGTGGAGACAGGAGATATATGGGAACCCTCTACTTCCTGCCCAATTTTGTTGTTTTATATTCACAACAAAAACAGAATTCCCATATATCTCCTCTCTCCACAAATGTGTAATGACGTGTGTCCACCATTATAGCAGCCCACAGAATAGTTTCACTGCTCTAAAAATTCCCCATGTTCCAGTTATTCATCCCTCCCTCTCACCAAACCCTGGCCACCACTGATCTTTTACTGTTTCCACAGTTCTGCCTACCTTTACTATGGAAATAGTAAACAGATCAGGGTTATATAGTGGGAATCATCAGTAAGCGGCCTTTTCAGATTGGCTTCTTCCAGTCAGTAATATGCATTTAAGGTTCCTCCGTGTCTTTGCTTGGCTTGACAGCTCAATTCTTTTCAGCGGATAGACATACCAGAGGAAACACTAGGGCTTCCATTAAGTTTACGTGAGATATAAAGTAGTCTAATAGTTACCTTCATCAATTTTAAAGTTTGTCTATATTTGCCTTTGCTTAATGATATCCAGTTAAGGATGTTAATAATAACATTTTGAGTCAGGTTATGAGTGATTTTGGATTTGGCTGGTAAGTGAAACCATAATCTAGTAAGTGTTTCATATTTTAAAACATCGGCTTGTTCCTATTAGTAATATAAACACATTGCTTGTTTAAAATTTTCTCATTTAAATGATTCTTTTGTGTTATCATGACATGGATTGCTACTCTGCAAGTTCTTGATTATCCTCATTTAAAATTATATTTGACACACAACAGGTAGAGTATTTTATATTAATCTTGTGTTCTCTGTTAAGCCTTAATTCCACTTTGGCATTTTAACTCCTATTGTGTGTATGAAAGTTTCACTAATACTATTGCGGTTATATTTCCTAGATGTTTCAAGTATTATTTAACATTTCTTCTTGGATAGGATGGGTTATAGTCTATCTGTGTCCTGATCATCTGAAGATCACATTTAAAATTTTAAAATAAACAATCATTAATACCAATTTTTTTAACCCTAGCTCATATTCTTTAATTGTTATATAATTATTTTGTTTAAAAACGTAGTTCTTGAATCTCAAAGAATTTACAACCATTTGTAATAGAGTATGTATGAATTGTGATATTTTGCAGCTGAGACCCAAGGAGTAAATCAACAATTGAGTCACTGGTGTATAACCAGCTCTTCTCCTTCATTCTCGGTGACTGTGGCTGAGTAGTTTTACGACAGTGTTAAACTCTGGTTCCTCTCACCTGGGAGAAGGAAGAGACTTCCTCTGTGAGAATATTAGGAAGTACCAGAAGACAATGATGCTTCTCACCCCAGGCCCAGATATTTGCAATTCATTTGCAGTTCTGTCTTTGTAAACTTTCAGAAACTGATATATAGCATCTATTTAACAAGAACTTATTAATGTAAAAGGGACCAACTTGGCTCTTGAATTTCAAACGTTATCTTAATTAAATTGGTGTTCTTGTACTACATGCGCCTGCAGGCCTTGGAAATAGATGAGTTGTGTAAATCAAAATATTAATAATGCACATGAATTTTCATTTATGAAATGTCTCTGGATCCCCAGATATAGAAAGGACTATCTTAATATAGTTTGCATGGTTCATTCAGGTGCATTTTCCATTGATTGTCAACTTTCTGGACATTGCTCACAATTGCACTAATCTTTCAATTTTGTTAGTTCACAATAACTATAATCAAGTGTTTCTTATCGTGTATGTTATATAAAATTTATTTTACTATAAATGAAGTAAATACATTATAACGTGTTTTTGTGTGTATATAAATTTGTATATAGACACATATATTATAATCGCTTCTCAAAGATTTGCAGATTTCAAAATATTTAAATCTCCAGAAAAAGTGTATGATACTGCCTTTAACGTTTTGTATGAATTTGGGGTTAAAACAATGCTTGAAAGTAATTGGTTTCCAAATGAATATGGACATTTATTCATGCTAATTATTTTCCTCCTTTCTGTTTTAAATAAATGTCTCATTTGTCAAAGCTTATCTTCCTTGATCAGGTCTTATTTTCCACTCACCCTGGGCCTAGGGGATTTTAGTTTCATATTTCAATGTCAAAAATTAAAAGTGTAATGTTTTCAAGATAATACTGCTTTTTATCATTTAAATACATGGTATTAACTCGATTATGGATATTTGTGATATGCTAATTGGATTACTAAATTATAAATAACCCTAACTATAAGAACACTTAAAGACAGTGTGGCTGAATATATGTCTATTGCACGTGTAATATGTATGCAGATGCACATATTAGCTCTCTGTTTTCCGTGCAATCTAACCAGTAGTTAGTTTATACAAGTGTCATATAAGACTATGCAAATGAGTATGAGTTTAAATTTCAGGTCAAAAATCACAATCTTCATTCAATGCCTGTGGGTAATAAACATATTCTACAATAATTATTCATTAAGTGCTTATGATGGACATCGTGCTGTTGCTATGTAGGAGACGAAGTCAGAGAATGAACGGCTCAGGCCAATATGGAGATGATATTCTGGGAAGGAAGATGACTTTCACAAAACTTATCTGCTATAAAGTCCGTGGTCCAAGACTACAGGTGGGCTGGATGTTCAAACATAAAAATATTATCTGAGGGACCAGAAAATCTTTATAAGTAGCACTTCTGCTGGCCTGTGAAGAATAATTAAAATTGGAAATGTAGAGAAAATGCAGACATTGGAACAGTTCAGTCCACACAAAATAAATGCCATGAAAAAGGCAGAAAGGCACAAAAGCATGGAGCATATTCTGGGGAAACAAACTCTTCAGTTTGGTGGTAACTGAGGATCTGATTGAGATGAGATACTTTAAAAAAATCACATAAAATTAAGAAGCTTAGCTTTGATTCTCTATTCCATAATACCATATTGAATGCATTTCCCTCAAAGTCATATGTTTTGATCCACATTTAATGAACATTAATATGATAACAATGTATAGCGTACATAGTAGGTTGATAAAAAATTGAATAAAATCTGTATATATTTGTCATTGCCATCTTTGTCATAGCGGATTATAAATTACCCAATGACAATGATTTTGCGCTCTCTCCCTCTCTTTCTCACACCCTCTCATTAAAAACAAAATGAGTTATACTTATTATAGCAGGCTGAAAACTATGGTTCAATAAATATGGCGTATCAATGACCAGACTGGTTGGTACTAGAAGTCTTCTTGATTTAAATTTTATAATTTGTCTCTCTAATCAACATACGCTCTGACAATTCAGAATGCCTTATTTCAACCAGTCAGTATGGAAGACTGCCAGCACATTTGTACTAAATTCTGCAAGCCAGGTGACCTTCCACATAGGTGACAACCAGCAGCGTGTGTGACCAATGACAGTGGCTGCTGGCCAGCGAGTCATGCCAGTTTCCAGCCGCTGAGCATCAGCGTTTACACTGTTTCACTTTTCTCACTGTAATTAAGCATACTTCACCCAAGTCATTTAAAATCTACAAAGTTAAAGCTTTGAGTCTCATTTTTAATAAATAGAAATAGATATTCTGTTTATAATTATACTATTTAAATGTTTTTCAATGATTGAAGTGAAAAATTTAATAGATATGTATTAGATTTTGCCTCCTACCTGAAATATTCTATTTCCTTATTGAAACTCCTTCTTTCTTTCTTATCAAACCATGGAGTTTATTTTTCTTTTTAAAGGTAATCATTCATTGAATTTATGTAATTACATCATTTTGTGAAATAACAGCATTTTCAGTTGACAGTATAAAAGCAAATTGTCTAATGTATCTGATTCTCAGTGCAGCAGTAATTTTCTAACATCTGCTGCTATACATATTCATTAAATTTGTCTAATATTATAAGACAAAAGATTACCAACAATCTCTAAAGAGTTGGAAAGAAACAGAGGTTACAAGATAATTACTGTACTATATTTGGCTTTTGAAAAAATTTTTTAGAGCTGTCTTTTGTATTTGCACTTTCATAAAAATTTAAAACAAACACTAATAAGTAGCCCGCCTCAACTTATTATTTTCGGGGGGAAACAATAACTAGTGAAACTTAAGGTGTTATTTGGCCTTGTTAATCCATAATGGAGGCAGGCTGCTCTAGATTTCACATCTACCAGGGTTGCACTCAGGAATGACTGAGCAATTCCAGTTATGTTTTTGTGTTTCAAGAGACAGAGAAAGTTTCCCTGGCAAGGGAAAGTTTCTAATATCAGATTTATGTTTTTCTTTCTATAAGGCTCTGTGGATGAAGATTTGTGTCACAAAATTTCCCTTCATGGAAAGACCTGTTGCTCCAGCAACGAGCTCCTTCAGGTTTGCCTTAGGTGTAGAAAGCTACCTTACTTGAGGCCAGGCCCTCCGCAGAATGGCTCATAGCCAGTAACTGGTCCAGGTGGGGTCTAAAATTCCGGGCCATTTAGTCCCAAATTAGCTATTTTAAATACCAATATTTATTCCAGAGCTCCCTGCGGTTTTGCCAATGAGTGCTGCATGAACTCACACCACAATTTGACTTCTGCTCCCTGATTCTACTTCTTCTCTAGCTCTCCCTCATGTGTCAATCCCTAAAAACACCCTGCACACCAAAGGCCAACTCAGTGTCTCCTCCGGAAACTCAGCCTGCACCATGGGCATCCTCGGCACAGGGCACCGGATGGAGCAGCCCAGTGCTGTGGTTCTGTCTAACACCTTCAGAAAGAGAGGGTGGGCCAGACACAATGCCACACACTAGTTTGTAGTAAAGAAAACATTAAAGAGGAAAAAATATCAAGCTGACCCTGTGGCCTAGTGGTTAAACTTGGCATACTCTGCTTTGGCAGCTGGGATTCAGATCTCAGGCATGGACCTACACCACTTGTTGGCAGCCAAGCTGTGGTGGTGACCCACATACAAAACAGAGGGAGATTGACATAGATGTTAGCTCAGGGAGAATCTTCCTCAAGCAAAAAGAGGAGGATTGGCAACAGATGTTAGCTTGGGGAGAATCTTCCTCAGCAAAAAAAGAAGGGGAAAATATCCAGAAAGAAGTTGATGCACAAGGATATGGAGAGAAGCTATTCCAGGGGTGGAAGGTGGTAACTTTCCTCCTGTCTGTCCTTGGAGCAGCTTTCCAGGGTCCTTGGGTTCCAATGAAAGTTACCGCCACAGACCCACTTGTCAGCAGCTCTGATGAGGTAGCTCTCACCCGGTCAGTGAACCAGCTGTCTTTGTGCAGAGGCAGTTATCAATTAACAGTTTAGATGTACTCATTTACTTAAGACCTGCTTAAGTGAAACAGACTGAGCACCATTTGATGGTCACCGGCTAAGCACTAGATGCACCACGGGCAAATATGAGCGATGTGCCCATCAGTCTACAGAAGGAAGTCAGAGTGTGATGCAGAGGACCAGGAGGTAAGCGGATGAGACAACTGTCGTAGGAGAAACAACCACGACTGTGGCAGAGACGTGGAGGGAGCAACTTATTTTCACCTTTACTGTGTTTATTGATCTGTACCAGCTCTTCTTGCTCCTGCAACTGAGCCACTTCTAATTTGCTCTGGATTGGGAAAATGCATTAACACTTCTGCTAGAATCCTATATAAAGTGAACAGCCATGAATGATATTCTGTGAGGGCTCACTTGAGAAAAGACATGATTGTTACAGGATATAATTACTAACACACACATTTTGAATATCTGGGGAAATTTTTAAAATAACTTTCTGGTTTTCATCGGCACGTCGGCTAGAGGATTTGCCCGAAGGCTGAGTTTCATACATGAGAAGTCATTGTGCCGCTGCATCTTTCACCAGCTCGTGAGGGAGAAAAGGTCCGGGTGGTCTGTGACGTTAGCCCTTAGCCCTCATGGCTGAGAACAAAGAGCTGGGGAAGAGGACAGGGACACTCCTGCACATGCTGCTGGCTCCCAGGAGAGGGAGTTTCTCCAGTCATTCTTGGTTCTGCCTGACTGCCTTCTCTTTCCCACGGAGATGGAATGATGCACAGCGGCCATGGGAGGACAGGACCCTGCCAGTTTATTCCATCTTCCTTTCTCCTGTTGAGGTATGGCTGCCCCCAGAAGGCCCTTATTAATTCAACAGGTATTTGTTTAGCACTATAACGTGCCAAATACTGTACTTGTTATTGGAAATATTACAGTGAATAAATTGGACAAAAGTCCTGCCCTCGTAGAACTTATCCTCTGGTGGTGTTAGAGAGACAGTGACAGAATAAATAAGCAAAATTCAAAGTGTGTGAAATGGCAACGCGTGATGGAGAAGAAGAAAGCAGGACGGGACTGGATTCAGTGTCTGAAGGGCTGGTAGCTATTTTAAACGCGGCGGTTAGGGAAGTTCTCACTGAGAAAGCAGTCTTGGAGCCAACAGTTCTGGGGAGGGAGGGTGTCACCTGTAGCTATGCCAGGTCAGAATATTCCAGGTGAGGGAAGAACAGCGCCAAGGCCTTGGAGTGGAATGCCACCCGGAAATTCAAGGAGGAGAAGAAAGCCCGTGAAGCTTTCCGTTCTGCTTCTCCACGTTATAAAATTCCCAGAGCTGGGTACACACATTGAGAAAGAAAGGAAAGGACAACTGCAGTGGCCCGTTTGTCACTAGAACAGTACGAGGTTTCATAAATTCTGTGATTCAGTATTAGGAACATACATGCTGCTTTCTACTTAAGGCATGTTTCAATAATTAGTGCAATTTTTTTAATTGAAGTATAATTGACATATAACATTGTATCAGTTTCAGGTGTACAACAGAATGATTTAATATTTGTATGTATTACAGAATGATCACCACAATAAGTCTTGTTAGCATCCATCACCACACGTAGTTACAATTTTTTTTTCTTGTGATGAGAACTGTTAAAATCTACTCTCTTGGCAACTTTCAAATACACAATACAAAATTATTAACTGTACACTATATCCCCAGGACTCATTTATCTTATAACTGAAAGTTTCTGTCTTTCGACACTTTACCTATTTCATACCCCACCCCCACTCCTGCATCTGACAACCACCAATGTGTTCTCTATCTCTGAGTTCAGTTTTTTTGTTTTGTTTTTTTCATACTCCACATATAAGTGAGATCATACGGCATTTGGCTTCTGCTGTCTGACTTATTTCACTTAGCATAATGCCCGCAAGTTTCATCCATGTTGTTGCATGGCAAGATTTCATTCTTTTTCATGCTGAATAATATTCTATTTAGGCAAATAAATGTAGTATAATAAGATAGCTTTTAGATCTAATATCTAAGATTTAGCTCTTAGAGCTAATTAACCTTTATATGTAATGTTTGTGTTTATAATTTATAATTTTAACAAAAATGTTGATGATTTAAATAATGTTTATTCCATAATTTTTTTTCTCCTCGCTTTATTCCTCCCTCCCTCCTTTTTTCTCTTTCTCTGTCCCACTCTCTCTTTTTCTCTCTTTTTGGTTAAGTCCCTCTCTCCATAATTTTATGAAAGTCAACATGATAATTCTCCAGTAGTCAGCTCCTTTGTAATTTCAGTTAATAACAATGTAGTGAGAGGATTTCACTCTTAAGCATTTAAAGATCCCTGATGATTACTTAGTATTTTGTGCGTCGTTCAAGAAAAATGGCTACATTCTTTAAAACAACTGTTCAGTTACAGGATGAGTGAGTTATAATGATCCATGCTGTTGGGCAATAACACAGAGATGTTATAATTCAACACGGATCTCCCAGTCTTTCATGGAAGCCACCGAGTTTGACCTACACAGTTACGTCACTGGAAACACCTGCTCAAATGACAACAGCAGCAACAGCATTTTATTTTTGCCCCTGGTTTTGGCAGATTCTAACAATCATGCAAAGCCTAGTAAAAGTTTGAGAAATAAGGAGTTGAGTGATAAATACACTTGATTATGTTTTTGATTTGCTCTTTCCATGCATGTGTGTTTAGTTAGATTTATTGGTCTTAACAACTAAGACCTTTTAGTGTTGCTCTAATTATAGGTGGACTTGAAAAATTCTATCTACTCAATCAATTGTTGAGTAAACTCCTACTCTATGATTTTCCTTTTGCCATGGTAAAAGAAGCATAAAAGAAGTACAAGGCAGAATAACTTCCTTTAAGATCTGTGCCATCCCACTATGCAGGCCAAAAATAAATGAATAATTAAACAAATAAGCAAGCAAGCGAGATACTGTTTTTGGGGTGTTTTTTGAGGAAGATGAGCCCTGAGCTAACATCTGCCAATCCTGCTCTTTTTGCTGAGGAAGACTGGCCCTGAGCTCACATCCGTGCCCATCTTCCTCTACTTTATATGTGGGAAGGCTACCACAGCATGGCTTGCCAAGCGGTACCATGTCCGCACCTGGGATCCAAGCCAGCCAACCCCCGGTCACCGAGAAGCAGAATGTGCTAACTTCACTGCACCAGCAGGCTGGCCCCACAAGATACTGTTTTGATGTCCCTCACTTTACCAGGTTCACCAGCTTATCTCTATCACAGGTGACCCCATATTTTGTATTTCTTAACTACATTAAGTTTTGAGATAATTCAACCACACGTTTAAGAACTTAGACCATAATCTGACCTGAGCCCTTAGATCTCAGGGTCACCTTGACCAACAGAGAAAGGATGGGTCTTGTTCTGATTAAAGGGAGAGAAAGATGAGCCTACACCAGTTTCTGGCCTCAGATAACACCGGCAATGAATCCTTGCTCTCAGCTCTAAACAGGACAGCTTCTGGAATATCTGTGATGCCCCTAACATTCTAATTTCTTTTCTACTTGCTTAAAATAAGGCAATTTAAAACAAACTGTAGATATTTCTTTTTTGTTAAGATTGACCTTAATTCCACACTAGTTTGCCCTGTTTGAAACTGCTGTGCGTTGACCTAGGCACGTGTCAACCCACTGTCCCCTCCGTCAGTCTTAGGACATCTTCCAGGAAAGCCAACACTAGATGTGTTACTTCTCTTAATAACTGCTATCGACTGACTGCCTTTAGTATTGTGCTCTCTGTGAATTAAAATTGGCAGATTTAGTCTGAATTAAACTCACTCTACCTTCCTCACATATTTTTGTCACTGACTTATTCACAGCAGTCCATCACCTTTTCTTCGCGTTAAGTATGACAGCACATTGCTCCCCCACACTCCTGCTTTCCAACAGATAGAAAAGAGTTTTCATCTGAATGACATACCTTTAAATTTTAACTTAATTAGCCTATTTAAAAAGTGGCATGTTCTGATGGCACAGCGGTTAAGTGCGCACGTTCCGCTTCAGCAGCCCGGGGTTCGCTGGTTCAGATCCTGGATGTGGACATGGCACCGCTTGGCATGCCATGCTATGTGGTAGGCGTCCCACATATAGAGGGAGATGGGCACGGATATTAGCTCAGGACCAGTCTTCCTCAGCAAAAAGAGGAGGATTGGTGGCAGATGTTAGTTCAGGGCTAATCTTCCTCAAAAAAAAGAAAACAAGTGGCATGAAATAGTGTAAAACTTTATCCACCTTTATCATCCTAACCAAATATAATGCCCAGCATTCATAGAATAATACCGCAAAATTTAACTATCATTGATTATTTAAATCTCACAATTATTCTATGAGACAGTTATTGTTAAAGAAAGTAATTGGCCCATCCACGACTGTTCAATGATGAATGATTAAAACTTGGACTGGTCCTGTGTTGTTTGATTCCAAGTCACAGCATTTATCAAAACAGCATTTAAAGAGTTTTAAAAAGTGAAGGGTAAGAAGTCAGAAAATAAAAAATAAACATTTTTTTATAATTTTATATCTAAAAATTACTTTTAATATCAACAACTAAACAAAGTCAGATTACAGTTGAAGAAGATAAGTTCTAAATAGTTTAGGCCTACATCTGCCTCAAAAACTGGAAGTGGTGCTCTAAATTCTGGTGGAAACGGCTCAGGAGATAGAATCTCAGACCTCTTCCTGCATTCAGTGTGTTGCGATGTGTTAATTGGCTGAAGTATCAGGAGAAGATCCAGCCCCCCACAGGTGTACAGTTGGAACGGGAGGCATATTTGAATAATCTTTTCAGATAGTTGTAGATATTCTTTGATACTACACAAAAACTTGACAAATGACAGTTTCTTGAAGGTTAGTTACAATAGCTAATCTGAACTACATGAATAAAATTTTCATACCTGTTACATTAAAATATATTGCTCCATTGAACTCCGAGTGCATCATTTACCCATGCGTTATTTTGTAATCTTGTGCAATGGTCATTCAGAAAATCCTGCTTCACTGAGTTACAAAGATCTTCCACGGATTACACATTTCATGATAAAATATCAAAAAGTCATCTTTTTTTGCATATCACAAGCAGTCACATAAGTCTGTAAGTATTGGCTGTCAGGCTAACGGTGGTGGATACAAGTTTTCCAAAGACCCAATTTTCACTTGAAAGCATGAAGTATATCATTGACAGCAAATGCAGCCATTTTTATTTTAAGCAACTAGTTTATTTTGTTCACTTTCCAGACAAAAAGGTCTGCCGAATACCCAAGTCTGAAAAAAAAGTTGTTTGTTTTTCACTCATTCTTTCAAGTAAAAATGGTATTTCATGGGGAAAAAACCCCAGAAAACTAGTTCAGCTGGGAACACAAACCATCAGACAAGGACTTTTCCCTGCAGACACTCACCATGTTTTGCAACACAGTGCAGGCGTTTGATTTGTATTTGCCATTTTGTCACACAGAATACTAAAAGCGAATGTCCTCAGGTTAAGATTTAATAAAATGAATGATCTCACTACTTCGTAAAAGATATTCTTCAGTGAAACTGTTTTTTTTAAAATGGAATATGTGGCGTGAAAGAGCAGGATGACTGCCAGAACCTCCACTGTCCCCACCCTGATTTGTCTCGACACCAGCAGTGAAACCCACCGTTGTTTGTGCCTTATGGAGGCAAATGTCAGCACAGTAAAAAGGCGAATAACATCTCGTCATGATTTTGAAAATGGCGTTTACCTAATACTCTAGAACATTGTTTCTCTAAAGATAGTCTGATGAGGCACCTGGGCCAGACTCACCGTTTTGCATAAAAAGTAGATTTCTAGGCTGCATGTGCTACTCACTGAATCAGAAACTCTGGAGGAACGTGACCTCTTAGCAAGCTCAGAGCCACTGGTTACACGCGCTGTTGTTTGAGAGCCGCTGCTCCAGGGGTTCCCAGAGAGAGCATCGTGCAAAACCTCAAAGCCCACGTTTGCCCTGAGCCTCCCCTCTGGTCTTCCTCCTTTACTGCTTCTCGCTCACCCGCGTGGTGGCGTACGCCTGCCTTTGATGTTTGAATGAGTGACATATCTAGTCTGTTCAATAAGCTCCTCACTGGACATGCCTATGACGATCAGCCTCCTCTGCTAATTTCTTGCTGGCTCGCAGGAGTGGGAAGCCTCTTCCTTGTTCTAGCATCCTGCTAGTTTGGAAGGCAGTGAGGAGTGACGTGAAGCAGGGAAGGACAGAGCAGGGAAGGTGGGATTTTACATTCATCCCATTTTCTTCTTCACCGCAGGATCCGTAGACGTCAGGGGCATGCTGGCGGGTCACCGCACTGAAGAGAGTGCAGGCCTAATCTTTCACTGCTCAGGGGAACCAAGTGCAGTTCTTGGTGCTGAGCGTGTCCTGTGTGGTCAGACATCACCCTGACAAGGTTATTGGGTTTTTTGTGTTTCTCTTTCTTTCTTTCTATACTGGGCCTGCCAGAGTATAGCTGAGAATGCAAGTTTTCTCCCAAGAGATTTCTGGGCACCATACAACAAGACATATCTCTAGACCCTATCCAGTTGTCTCTAAATATGCTGGAATAATTTAGGCTATTTCTACCTAGAACATCTCAAAGTGATTAACTTTCTAGGCTAGTACAATCTAATCTCATCAGACTTCCCATCTCTGACATTCTTAAGTATCATCCTAAGGAAGACTCTCTTTATGTCTCTGTCCTTGATGGTCTCCATATTGTCTTTGCTACACGAAAACTACTTGCCAACACTTTCACTTCTACACAGAGACCTTCCTTTCACTGAGGCCCTTTTCCGACTCTTCTTCCATTCTGCTCTCTGCCACCACCACACCAGTCTATGATTAACAAATTCCTATATCCTCAACCTCTTTACTAACTAGAATTTCCACCTTCCTACTGTACTTAGTACTAACACCGCCATTCTCCTTTGATTCTTCATGACCTCTTCTTATTCTTCTCAGGCCACACTCATTTATACTCAGGGTTTCAAAAACAACCCACGTGCTGATGCTAAGCCCAAATATTTCCCTTGATTTCTAGGACCATATACCCAACCACAATATTCAATACTCAGATAACCATTACCCTCAAAGAACAGTCGTACCTTACCATGACCAGAGTAGGTTAGACATCATTCATTCACTCATTTACTTATGCAGCAAGGATGTATTAAATACTTGCTTACAGCTGTGTCCTATGCTGGGTTATAAGGAAACAAGTCTCCTTGCACTCGTGGGTTTAGTGTAGAGAATGTTTCTATATATAGAACTAGTTGCAATGTAGTGTTCCAGACTCCATGAAAGATGGTGTAGAGACAACAGTAAGTTCATGAAGAGGGAGCTTTTACTTATACCTGGGCAGATCAAACGAGTTTTGTGCCGAAGAATGGGTCTTGAGCTGTATCTACAACATGACTAACAGGTGGGAGCCAGATGGATGGAGAGGGGGTGACGTTAAGCTGCCATTGTCTCATCATGAGTATGCTCCCCACTCATGTATTAAGATATGGTATACTCGTTCACTTACATTTCTGTCCTTATGACGGACCCTGCACCTTCACCGTTTAAACCCTATGTATGGCACTAAACATGACACGTATTGGGCGTACAGTAAATGTTTATAATGAACTACTGACCTCTGTATTTACGCACCTTTCAATAGAAGAACCAGCACCGAAGCCCGAGTCTCATTACCTCAGATGATTCTTTTAAATTGTGTTGTACTCTCTAATGTAATAGGATGCTGATAAAAACATATATGACATAAGTCTAAACTGTCTTTCCATTTGGCCTTTAAATGGAGGTTTACAAACTTCCACCAGTACATGAGCGCCAAAGATTTTACATTGGTAGATTTTCATATATTCTTTGCTATACCACAGAATTAATTATTGATGAAATGGCTGAGCAACAAGGAAGACGGAAGACGGACGTTACGCCCTAAAAGGGAAGTTTTGTCACTGCCTGGAAACCTTTATCCCTTAAAAAAATCTGTAATGTAAAGCATTACATTGTATGTGATATTTCCTGATCATATTTTTAGACGCATTTGTAAACATTTAGGAATAGAATGCTCTTCAGCTTTTTGAATCAGTTTCTTTATTCAATGCCTGCTTTCATAAACGGTTTTCATTTGTCCTCTGTCATGTACCTTTGGCTTGTGGTGATATTTATAATGAGTCAATCAGCAAAGGTGACTGACTGAGCTGATTTATGCCAGATGGGCCTCTCCCCTTCACATATAAATGGCATGAACTCCATAAATCTAAGCTCTGAAGGTGTTAGCCAGCTCTAATGAAAACACAGACGTTTACCTCAGGGGACCAAGCAGTGGCTTCCTTCTGTTCCTTCACCCTGGAAAGAGCAAGAGGAGATCTAAGGTGCTGCTGACACAATTTTCTGTTATTTCCTGATTGTCACCTGTTTTATATGACTTCACATTTTAAACTTTTGAATTTATAAATAATTCCCAGAATTATTAATATTAAGAGACCCTCAGCATTAATTAGTCAGTAGGAATGAATAATAAGACTGAACAGTTATTAAGTAACCTCTTTATGCCGGGCATTGAGGTGAGAAATTTGCAATTTCACTTATTCTTCACAAAAACCTTCCATGGCAAATACGAAAATGGTCAATATCACTTAACATTTGAAGAAACAAAACCATGAGAGAAGTAAGTTCACAGTCATATCATAGGTAAGGCCTGACAAGCGTTTAAATCTTTATAGTCTAATTCCAGAGTCCAAACTTTTAAACCTGATACTACATGACCCCTCATCTGTGAATATAAATAAATACAGATTTATAAGAATCTTGCATTCTAAATCGAAAAGGTACAAACATAATTTAATATGAACATGTTTAAAGGAAATATATATTTATGCGTAAGCAATGCAGAAGTTAGTTGGAAATACGAGTCTCATTAAGATATTCATTCTTATGACAAACAAGTATGACTTGTTATCTTTAATTTTGTCTTCTCTCTAGGAAATGTAATAATGGAAAATAATTAAAGTGATGCTTAATCACGGCTGTCAGTATTGGCAATCTCGTAAGTCAGTTAAAAGAGCAAATAGAGACCAGTCTAACTCATGGAATCTTAAGGAATATTACGCCAGCTTGTTGGAAAATGTCCATACTCACAAAAATATTATATATTAGTTCTATTTATTAAATATCATTTTGTCTTCCCAAACTACTCATTATTATCTTACTATAGCAGCTAATTTTCCCTAAACATTTCATAGTTATTGAAATTTAAAATATATATTTATTCAAAAACGGAAACATCCCATGTTTGTCTTTTGTTAATTATGAGCAATGTTCTAGCACTTCTTAATGAAGCACAAGCTGAAATAGCACTTCACAAAATGCCATGAACTGTCACCCCACTTTCAAATCCTTCTGAAGACTAGTTAGGATATTTTAAGGCCATATATGTTTTCCCTAATTTTAGTATTTACAGTAAAAGTGAAAAATTCTGAACTTTTACCCTTAGTCTTATTATAGAGACCCTAACAAATGGTGACGTAGACTCTAAACATGTTTTCAGACCAGGGCTGCCATGTCCAGCTGCGCAGGTCGTGCAGTGCATCACTGTGGGAGGGGCCGCTCGCAGCGTCTGTGTGATGGCCCCACTCCAGACCCAGTGTTCAGTGACATTGACATGGAATATCAAGAACAAAGGGCCTGTTAGCAAAATTCAGATTTAGGGAAAAGAAGAAAACATGACATATTTTACATCCTTTTACACATCAGACTCAAACTTTAATTCTGTTAAAATTTTGATGTTTTATGTAATGAAACTTGGTCTCTTTAATACTAACACAGATTTTGCAAAATGGAGCACCAGTTTGTGGACATAGACTTACGTCTACATATAGACATATGCTAAAGGCTGTCTAGTCAGCCTTTAATTCTCAAGGTCTGCAAGATGTCTTCACAGATGAACTTATGAGTGTGAGGAAGGGATAAAGCATGGCATGTCCCCAAGAAGCAGTTGAATCCTGTGGGTGTGTTTTATTCCTATTCTTTGAGCAGTAAGTAATATTTCCCTTTCATTTTTTGTGCCCTTAATATAGCTGTAATGGGTAACAAAAGGTGTTTTTATATTTGATTAGGAAAACATTAGACTATAATAATTAGTTTTTCCATTTAAATTCCCTAAAAGAGAGTTGCTAGTGGAAGAAAAGAAATCGTTTTTAGAATAAGCTAGCTACCTTCAAATTACTTGAAGAAAAATGTAACTAGCTAGAGCTCTAGTCAACATTTACAAAACGCTTTAATAGAAAACAAGTCACATATCTCAGAGCTTAAGAGGGATATAAACTGCAAACATTATTTTCTTTATGTTCATTTTGACTAAAAGTATCAGTCATTCTAATGGCTGGTTAAATAAGACCAAACGATTCCATTCCATCTGGGCCGCATGTGTCAACAACTCACTTACGCGTTTACGCTAATGTCTGCTTAATGCTTGGTTGTTGGTTGCCACCATTTTACTTGAGAACATGAGCTCAGTATTGAAAGGGTCATTTTACACAAATTTAAAAGTGTGTAAATAATGTGGATAATGGGATTTATTATTTTTATTTGAATAAACACAATTTTTAGGTAACAAATAAAAGACCTTCATTATAAGATGAGAAAAAGTGCTACACAGTTAATCATGTTAACAATACATTTTATCTTGTTTCTTTTATATTCTATCATTAAAAAGCTGAAATTCCTGTGCACAGTGGACTTTAAATTAAGGCAATTCTGGCTTTGAAAAATATTTATGTTTCAGAACTTCTTTCTTAGACTTATTTAATGTGTCTCTCTTCTGGTTTCAGTATCCTGGGTACTTTCTCTAGGGGTTCTATGCAGAAAGGAGACAAGGAGGCGTGAGGGAGGACAAATGTGGTCTCATCTGACAGCTTTGAATAAATTCTGCAGGACAGAATGGTGTGTCATTTCAAGTCCAGCCCGTCCCCCGCATAGATGTAATGTGCTGTCAAGTTAGACTTGCCGGCAGCAGGTTTACACGTGACTTATTGTAGTGGGGCGAAGCTTAAACTGAAAAGCGAGCTTGACTTTGTACAGGGTTATTCCTACTCAATACCTTTTTAAAAGCTCACACTTAGAATGTATATTTTTAGGAACTAGATGTTAATATTAAAATGTTGCTGGAGTAGAGGACAAACCAAGATTTGCTGAGAGTACTTTTCTTGTTTTCTTCACTTTTTTTCCTCATCTACTGTACTATTCTCATCCCCACCTTCCTCAACTCCACCACAGCTCCAATTTAGAAAAATGGTGAATCCTTTAGATCTATGCACTGACCATGGGGGAAATGGCTGCAGTTGAAATCTCACATTAGGTAGAATTCATGTATTCATCTATTTATCATTATACATATCATTCGTTTATTTATCACAACTATCAAAGAGATCACTGCAGAGCCCTGAAATGGGCAGACGCTCTACTGGACACGGGAGACACCCAGTCCCTTCAGGAGCTGACACGGCAGTAGAGAAGGCAGGGATATGTTCATAAGCTAAATCCTAAGCTCGTAAGTGCTCTGATGGAGATATGCACGTGGTGTGCTGGGAATCAAGAGGGGCGTCAGAATCACATGACAGAGTCAGGACAGGAGTTGAAGGACAGAAGCTGGATTCAGAGGGTGGACTGAAGTTAGTCAGATGAAGATGAGAGAGAATTTTAGGGATGGAGGATGACTGGGCCAAGGGGTTTTAGCAAGAGGTAACGCTGTGCAATCACAGCTATGGAACCTGGAGCTGTAGGTCTTAGAACAGAAGTCTATGCTGTGTGTAGGAACTGTGAAGCTGTGGAGAAGGGTTATGAGGCTTACAGTTCCTGATTGCATTCTAGAACAGTTGTTCTAAGGGCAGTAATGTGGAAGGGGTGGGGGTAGATTCCAGGGTGATTTGATATAAAGATCCAGTGGGACATTAAATACTGTATCTTAGATAGGAAACAATAAGGTTCTGAACTGAGATACTGACTTTTATAATAATAGGATCAAGGATTAATTTGAAAGATAAAATCAACAAGACTCCTCTTTCAACAGAGATGGAGGAAGCAAGAGAAAAGGTGGCTCCTGAAGCAGGGTCACTGGAGAGGCTGGAGGGCACGGACTCCCCTGGAAACGGGACGAGCAGACGGGAGCGGGCTTTTCCTTCAATTACTTGGCACTTAAGGCAGCTCAAATGATTGCAGATGGAGTAAAGGCTCAGGAGTGAGGGGAAAATTAAGAGCGATTTCATTAATGACTTTAATTTTCTCAGTTAAGTGGAAGGCAAACTACTCCACTGCAGTTGAGGAGCGGCCGGGTAAAGGTGGCAGAGGAGACTGGCAAGTGCTTGGAATGACTGATACAGGACTGGGGGAAGGAGACAGTCAGGATTGCTGAACACCCTTTAGGTCTCACTACTAAAGAGTTATTATATTTCTTGTTTGTTGGCTTTTAAAACAATGCAATGCAGTGCTGAGTAATAACTAATCTAAATGTGACCCATTGGCATGGGAGGCAAAAGCGCGGAGGACTGGTCACGGGATTGGAGAAGCCCAGGAATTGTGAGGGTACAGTTCAGGATAATCAGGTGATGATGTTCACCCGCAGGCTAAGGAAGTTATTCACTCAATCTTACTTGTTGAGCACCTGCTGTATGCGACACGTTACACAAACATGAGAAAACGAGCTTCTTCGAGAAGCTTAAAATCTTATAAGGAATGTGCTGCAGGCTTATAACATAGAAAAATAAGACAGCATTTGAAGTCATAATAGTCATTTGTGTTATCACAGTCATCTCTAAAGTACTGGGAAATTCACTTTACTTTTTAGACACTCTTACTTTTCTTAGTAGAACCACATTTCTCATGTTATAATACATATACATATATGCACGTAAAGGGCCCTTAATAGATATGCATAATATGCATAACCAAACATTTGTAACATACATACATACATGTAAAAGTAAAGGGCCTTCTGCCATGTTCTCAAAGAAGATTTGTGAGTATCCCAATGGTTGTACTCAGTTTCTTCAGGCAGTAGCTGAAATACCGCCTTCGATCTCGACAATTCCTGGCCACCTCTCCCTCACTCTCCAAAGGAACAGATTCAAAAGAAGCACACGGCGTAGCAAATGAAAGCACCGGAAGAAAAAATATTACTTTTTCTAGATGGCGTCCTCTGGACAATGAACAGCCTACCTCTACTCCCGTGACTGGCACGTAGTAACACTCAGACACTTGCTGCATGAATGAATGAGCAAATGAAAGGAACACAGAAAGGGCTTTCCTTGAGGGTTAGACAAACTTGGATGACAAGAAAGCTCTGTACTTGTGAAAATTAAACCAAAAACACTCTTCTTATTTGTAAAATGGAAATAATAATACCTCTTATAAGAATGGCAAAAGGTTCAAGTGAAACTTTTATGTGTATCACCTAGGATTGTTTTTGTGGTTTTTCGTATAGCAGGAAAATTGATTAATTAATGAGATTCCCTTTATTCTTCTTTCCCCAACGTATTTCTGGTAACTTGACCCATAATTTCATAAGGATAAGTTTTTCATTAACTATGGAAACAGGATTTAGGTTTTTTCAGTATGTAAATTGTGCTGCATCAAAACACTTTAAATTTTATTAACTTTTGAATTCACAAATGTTGAGAGAATCCTGTATTTATAACCAGAACAACTAGGAAAAGAACCAAACTTATATAGAGTTAACCACTTTCTTGCAAAAGTCCAAGTTGAATTTTATTTTTAAACAAACCCATACAGAAGCCCAATTTCCTATGACCCCAAATCTCTCTGAAGAAATGATGAAGATTAAAATCATATATGCTCGAAACGCAAAATGCAGTGTCCTCCTACTCCAGCAGGGATGGGCTAATTTGGGTGGCATGAATGCTGCTGTGGGACTTACAATCAGATAAACTTTGTATTTGTTTGTAGAGCCTAGAATCTTGAAAAATTAACAGGAAATTAGAGCATGTCACTGAAACAGGACAGAGGTTGACATTCTCAGAGGCAGAGAAATGCTGGCATCTAAGCCAGTATATAATGGTCAAACCGCAGGGAGTATCTGAATTTCAAAGAACAAAAAATTTCCTTTTGTGAACTGAACTGCCATAGAGCCTTAGAAAGAGCTTATGGCCAAGTGGATTTCCACTGTTATTCATATGCTAAATTCATAACCCCACCTCAGTGTGAAAGTGAAAGTATTTTACATGTATGTTCATACTGGAAGAAGTAGCCCCAAAGTCCATCCCTAAATAGAGTAAGGCTTAGAACGTCAGGAAGAGCCAGGATCAAGTTCATGGGCACCGATTTACAGACCTGATGGCTCAAACAACCGTAAACATCACCACTGGATTCTCTCTCTTGGTGAAGCTGATGAGGCATGAAAATGAAAACGTGGCATCTATGAATGACTCCCTCTAGAACGAGGACATATTTATATGGCCCAGATCCTAAATACAACTGTAAATGTAGGGAGTCAGAAATGATGCGATTATGCTGATAAGTGGACTCTGACAATGAAGCCCTGGTAAATTCCAATCATTGATTTTCCAGCCACAGTGGAGACCGTCTCGAGAGTCAGGGCTCTCAAGCCCTAAAGTGCATGTGAGTCACCTGGATCTTGTTAAAAATGCAGCTTTCGATTGAGTAGGTCTGAAGTGGGATCTGAGAGTCTGCATTTCTGACAAACTCCTGTGGGATGCTAATGCTGCCGGTGTACAGAGCAAACTGAATAACAGAGATGTGGGCACAGCCAGTCTTGGCATTGAGCTGGTGTCTGCAACAGTTGATTGGTTTCCAGTGAAACAGAATGTTAGATGGCTGTGATTGCTCGATCACACATTCTCAGGTATTTTAAAGATTGCAGCAAAATGGGATAATATGGTGCTCATCCCAGGTGACTGAGACTTTGTACGGTTCAAGATAACACTGTGTTCTATTTACTTATGACAATGGCAGCCTTCGGTACAGTTTAAATCTGGGAGATTTAAAAACAAATTATATGCGTCCCCCAGCCCAGATGAATGAAGTCAGAAATTCTACAGTGGATTCCAATGTGAAGTTAGCCTAGATTAAGATCTGGTGGTTCTTATTTACCTTCCTGGAGCCAAAAGCCTAGAGGAAAAGAGAATTAAGACCTAAGACCTCTTGTTCCCTCAGCAATTTCCTTCTCTTGAGTTTCAAGTTAGTAAAGGGGGCATTGGTGGGAGCAGAGAGACAGGCTAACCAGGGAAACAGCAAACATCAAACAGTATGATCATCCAAGTAGAAGAGAGAGCACACAAGGCCAGAATTAAAAACCAGGCTGCACTGCTCCCCCCAAGCAAATTAATCATATCCATCTATCTATCTATCTATCTATCTATAATTGAGATATGTATATATATATCTCAAGGAAAGTGCAATGAGGATAAAAGAAACATATATTAAATTATAACCTTTTATTATCTTTCTCTCTTTTTCTACCAACTAAAGGAAACTATTTCTTTGGCAGCTCTGGCTTCACTGGAACCCTCGCCTACAAAGAGAAGGGTTAAGATAGCAAGTTAAGAGGTGTTTACTTACAGGACAGAAAATAAAGAAAGTGGGACAGAACTGGAGGAGCCCAGCCCGTGGGGACACCCACACTGGGAGCGCTCATTGGAGTTGCTGAGTCCCTGTGCGAGCTCCGGTTGGCTGGACCAAGCAAACAAAGGCTTACGGAATTTATTCAATGAGGAAAACTTTGATTTGCGGAGCTAACTCATACTTGCTTTTGTATATAAGACATTTATTTTTTTCTTAAATTAACAAATGATCCTTCTTCAAATCAAAAGTGATAACATAACTCTAATGCATGATTTGTTCAATTATTTTTTCTCACATTGTAATTATTAAATGAAGCAGTATGCAAATTTGTTAGAGTCTGTTCCAGTTCTTATTAATATCTTTAACCCACTAAATTCTAGTCACTGTTTTCAAATATTTGATATTGCCAGGTTTATAAAATCTTATTAAAAATTAAATACACATGGAAGTTTCAAATTGAGCTTTACAGGTTTAATTAGTAATGAATCACTTAAATGCTGAATATTTGTGTTTTACAGACACAGGCTGAGAGTCAAGGATGCTCATTTAAAAAAAATTAGTTTGAATCAAATAAACTCTATGTTATTGGGTTATTGAATGTATTTTCTTAAATGAAACCCCATGTTTTTATTAATCCATTCATTAAACTTAAAAATCTTTAATCTGTGACTTTCTCTTTGTGTGAGTTTTGTACACACACATATACACCGAGGGAAAAACTATGGTTATACAAATAATGTTTTACAAATCTACAGATAAGATGTACTGCTAATTTCTAATTGCAAATATGTTCTTTATTTCCTATTGTTACTTTGTCTTCTAGACACCTGCCCACTCCCTATTGTTGTAAAGAGTGAACTTCAACGATTGCTGCTTTTGCGTGTCTATAGAGCAGTGTGCTCTGTGCCTGGGCACTATCATTTGGCTTTTGCAAGTGAACAGAAATTGAACAAGTTTTGCAATTTTCTTCAAAATACCATGTAATAAGCTGCTTTTTATTATACTAATAAAACGTCTACAGAGATTTTTAAGCACTACAGCAGTTTCTTTGGTATTTGCTTAGTTGCTGTATCATATGCTGCTGTCTTATTTGTGACAATGCAGGTAATTGGGCAGAGGGAGGAACTGGATGGGCCCACAAAGGCACGTTGGCCTTCCGCAACTATCTTGCAAAGCATTTGTAAGGAGAAGTGATTGACATTAGGTATTCAGGACATTGTTGCAACTATGCAGATGGATCATGAGGCCAAGTAGACATACAGAAGAAGAAATAATTCTTCTATGGGAAAAATTCCAGTGGACTAATGAACATCCCTGTTTATATCTTGTCAGACAGATATCGTGGTCAGAAAATACCGTAAACTTGGATTCTGTTTTAAAAATAAAGATAATCTATTTATTATAGCCTTGTCAATGAAAACAATCCATAGCCAATCTATAAATGAAAATTTGGGTGAGTTTATTCTGAGCTAAAATGTGAGGACCATGGCCTGGGGCCTTTCTTCCTGAAGGAAGAAAGGGCACCAAAGAAGTGGGGTGCACAGAGTGGTTATATACCCCCAAACAAGATGTTTCACACATGATTGAAATGTCCCTTTTACAATAGTAGCGAGACTGCTCTGTCGGCACGGCGATTGATGGAAACAGCAGGTAAGTCTGCTGTCTCGGTGAACACAGCAGGGTGGCAGGTCTGTTGTCTCGAGCTGGGTGGTCACAGGTGAGCTGGGTGGTCAAAGGTGAGCACAGCAATCAGTTCCTAGCCTAAGGAAAGATGCTTATCCTTAAGGAAATGCCAATGTGGGGGGAAGTTGCACCTTTATCTCAAGCCATTTGTTCTCGCCATAGTAAATGTTTTAAAGCAGATATACAATGCGTACTCAATGGCCACAGTCAGGTCCCTTTGGAAAAAAAAAGTCAGGCCAAATTAGGTTTATACCAAATGGCTTCCTCATATACTCCAATATATTCTATTGCTTGCCATTTCTATTTGTCAGTCTAAAGATAATTAATCTAGAATACTCCACCCTTAGTTCAAATTTCTAGATAGTGTTTAGTTGGATATTTTCCACATTGAAAATGAATTTAAATCTTTCCACAATGTTACTAAGATATATATGTATATGTTTATACCAGAGCCTCTGTTTTCACATTTATGCTGGTTTTTAAACCTAGAGCGACACTTAGAATAGTGTAATCACGCTCTTTCATTTTTAAAATAATAAGACTGAGACCTAAAGGAGTGAAATCACTTTCTCGAGATCAGACATAGAAAAGAAGAAAAATAGGAATTCACCGTAGATCCACTGGCTGCCGCTGTGTTTTGCAGCATTGGAGAGCGTTTCATAGATAGATTCCCACGGCTGACTCTCATCTAATCCTCCCATGACTGTGTTACAAACGTCTCCTCTATGGGGACTGAATTAACAACAGTGCGTCTGCTTTCTAAAACGAAGCACATCAATCCAGGCCCTAAGTAAAGTGATATAAAATATAACTTTCTATAAAACGTATTGAGAACCTACAATATTCATTTACACTATAGAAGTACACTGAAGCATCCCCAATAGCAGATTGTGTATTACTGAATTATAATCATTTTCAAAGATTTTAGAAGTGCAAACAGTCTTTTACTTGTTTTCATTCTTTTATTGCTGTTGTTAGTTTGCTTTTTCCTTGAAACATATGCTTTTGGAATCCAACAGACAGTGAATTAGTTAACAATCATACTAAAATATGCACATGGAAAAACAAAAGAAAAAAATAAATACAACACGCACACACAATAACTCAAATGGTCATTTTAAACCATGCGCTGAAACATAACCAATACATTCTGAATGTTAGGTTTAAGAGGTTAAATAAATAATAACAAATACTGCTTCAGTCAGATTGCATTGAATAATTACAAAATTCATTTGTATGAGTGATTCAGGACCAGTATTTCTACCTCTGTCACAATGTTAATGTAATTATACTATTATTGCTGTCAAGCAAGGCAGATCATTGAAAACAATTTTGTTCAAAAATATTCAGGCACCATAAATAGCGAAATAATAAATGACTCTTAAGGGGACTCAATACGAGTACATTTCATCTGTAAGGAAATCAATAAGAGACTGAATTTCAAAAGTTTATCTTTGAAAAGCATAGGGGTAAATTAAAAAGATATCCATGTTGTGTAAAATCTTAAAAACTAGTAAAAGAAATTAGATTATAACTTTTACTTTTCTCACTCATCATAATAAGGGAGAGATTTTAAAAACTGTAAGTGCTTTTTGTTTTGTTGAAAATCACCTATGTCTGTATTAGAGGCAACATTGTCCATTTCTACGATCCAGAAGCAAATGTTATTCAAATACCAAAGGACTTTTCCACAGTTGCCCAGACCACTAGCGGACTATTGTCACTCTCTGTGCTGTGGAGTAAGTACCATAACATCCTCCAGACTCGAATGTCTGCATGTAGCATCAGTGTTTAATCTCCACGTCATGTCCACGGTGTTAATAGTAAGTGCAGGCAGTGAAACAGACCTGGTGTTTTTGTTTGTTTGAATTGTTTTGCTTTGTTTCAATATCACCTAATTTTATCACTGCATCAAATCTTGAATCAGGATTCCAGGAAGATCCATTTCATGTAGTACCTTGGCATTCCACCTGTGAATTTATTATAGCAATTTGTGCAAAGTCAGTGGGAAAATCTTTTAAAAGAAGATGTTTCCATGATCATGGATTGGAAGAATTAATATTGTTAAAATGTCCATGCTACCCAAAGAAATATACAGATTCAACACAATCTTTATCAAAATTCCAATGTCATTTTTCATAGAAACAGAAATAACAATCCTAAAGTTTACGTGGAACCACAAAAGACCCAAAACAGCAAAAGCAATTTTGAGAAAAAACAAAGCTGAAGGCATCATGCTCCCTGATTTCAAAATGTATTACAAAGCTATAGTAATCAAGACAGTATGGTATTAACACAAAAATAGATAGGTCGATCAATGGAACAGAATAGAGAGCCCAAAAATAAACCCATGTGTATGTGGTCAATTAATGTATGACAAAAGAGCCAAGAATATGCAATGGGGAAAGGAGAAGCTCTTCAATAATTGGTATTGGGAAAACTGGACAGCCACATGCAAAAGAATGAAACTGAACCACTATCTTACTCACACACAAAAATCAACTCAAAATGGTTTAAAGACTTGAGTGTGAGACCTGAGACCACAAAAATCCCAGAAGAAAACATAGAATGTAAGCTCATTGGCATGCATCTTGGTGATGATTTTTTGGATTTGACGCCAAAGCAAAGACAACAGAAGCAAAAATAAATAAGTTGGACTACATCATGCTAAAAAAGCTTCTACTCAGCAAAGAAAACCATCAACAAAATGAAAAGACAACCTACAAAAGGGGAGAAATATTTGAAAATCATATATCTGCTAAGGAGTTAACATTCAAAATGTATAAAGAACTTATACAACTCAATAGCAAAAAAAGAGAATCTGACGAAAAAAATGGGCAGAGGTACTGAATAGACATTTTTCCAGGGAAGACATACAGATGGCCAACAGGTAGATGAAGAAGATGCTCAGCATCACCATTCATCAGGGAGACGCAAATCAAAACCACAATGAGATATCGCTTCACACCTGTTAGAGTGGCTATTATCAAAAAGATAAGAGATAAAAAGTGTTTGCCAGGATGTGGAGAAAAGGGAATCCTTGGGCACTGTTGGTGGGAATATAAATTGGTTGCAGCCAATATGGAAAACATTATGAAGATTCCTCAAAAAATTAAAGATAGAACTACCATATGACCCAGCAATTCCACTTCTGGGTATAAATATCTGAAGAAAACAAAATCACTATAGTGAAAAGATATGTGCATTATTCACAACAGCCAAGAAATCTAAACAACCAAAGCATCCATTAATAGATGAATGGATGAAGAAGATGTGATATAAATATATCGTGAAGTATTATTCAGCCATAAAAGGAAGGAAATTCTGCCATTTGCAACAACATAGATGCACCTTGAGGGCATTATGCCAAGTGAAATAAATCAAACAGAAATTCTGTACACTGTCAGTGGGATGTGGAATCTAAACAAACACGCTCATAGATACAGAGAACATGTTGGTTCCCGGGGCGGGGGCCTGGGGGCAGAGAAAATGTGCAGGTGGTCAAAAGGTACAAACTTCCAGTTGCAAGATAAATAAGTTTTGGTGGATGTAATATACAGCATGGTAACTAAAGTTAATGATACTGTATCATATATTTGAAAGTTGCTAAGAGTTTGGATCTTAGAAGTTCTCATCACAAGAAAAAATCCTGTAAATATGAGGTGATGGATGTTAACTAAACTCATTGTGGTGATAAAATAAAAGGAAAAAGAAGATGCTATGATTGATTGCTTTTTTAACAAATAACCTTTTTATGAACTGAAGAATAACAAGCGTTTTCTTAGAAATTTTATAATGCTGTGTGATTTTGTTGCCTAGGTGAAGGAGCTACAAAAATCTAGTGATCTTTGATGTTTTAATTACTGCTGTGGAACTTGCTGGCCTTTGATAACTAAATAGTAGTTTCTAGCCTCTTTTTGTAATTTCCCAATGTTGCTTAATGGTGAAATTTTTAATTATATCTGGAGAAACAATAATATAATTCTTTCAACATTTAGGATGGTATTTATTTAAAACTACAATAACACAACCACACAAATAACTGAAAATCCAGCTCACAAGAGCCTACATAATAATGGTTTTATTTTTCTAACAAATAAACGTGCAATATATGTACTTTCAAGGACTGGTGAAGTGGCTCCACTATGCCAGCAAACTCTTATCCTTTTCGTTTCTCCGTGTTAAGGATGTAAGTCTTCAATTGCATACTAAACCTGTGATCACGATAAGGCTCTTATAAGTCAAGCAACAAGTGAATCGTTCAGTGCATGACACACACGTCACATTAGTAAATAATCATAGTTATCTAAGAACAAAGTTAGAATAGTCTTTTTCTTCAATGTACATGTATTATTTTTTTCAAACAGCTATTAATTTGTTAAGACATAAATATGTATGTAACTGTTTTGAACTACGTATTAATAGTCAAAACTATTGCCCTTTTTTTTGGTCACAAATACCCTGAAAAAATTACTGAGACACTAAGGGCGTTGTGAACTTTCCGTGAAAGAGAGTTTGGTCAGCTCCCCATGGAAAGGGGCCTGCTCAGTCAAGCTTTTACTTTCTGTAGACTCCACAGCAGCAGCAGGCTAAAAACGTGGGGGCTTCAGCGCTGTCACGTGTTGGTGTCGTCAGCCAACCTTCGGGATGCCTCGGTCGCATTTTTCTACTCACGTGCTTTGGAAACTGGGGCTAGGCTCCCTCGGCTGACTCCTAGAGGAAGCAGGAGAGGGAACGAGGAAAACCCCTGTGTCTCGCACTGGACA